CTTCTCTTTTGCAGGCGTAGCAGCCCCAACTCTTTCAGCCTGTCTTCATAGGAGAGGTGCCCCAGTGCTTGGATCAGCCTCATGGCCTCCTCTGGACTTGTTCTAACAGGTCCATGTCTTTCTTGTGTTGGGGGGTCCCGAACTGGACACAGTACTCCAGGTGGGGCCTTATAAGAGCAGAGTAGAGGGGGAGAATCACCTCCCTCAACCTGATGGCCACACGCTTCTCTTGATGCAGCCCAGGATACGGTTGTCCTTCTGGGCTGCAAGCGCACATTGCCGGCTCATATTGAGCTTCTTGTCCACCAGCACCCCAAGTCCTTCTCCTCAGGGCTGCTCTCCAGCCATTCTCCACTCAGCCTGTATTTGTGCCTGGTGTTGCCCTGACCCACATGCAGGACCTTGCTCTTGGCCTTGTTGAACTTCATGAGGTTTGCACGGGCCCACCTCTCAAGCCTGTCAAGGTCCCTCTGGCATGACCAGAGGAATTTCAGTTGGAGTTTCTCTAATTTCTTTCACAAATACTTTCTGCTTTCCCAGACATTAGAGAATTCCCAGGTCCCTTTGGAGTTTCATTCTCTCCATGCCAGTCTTCTTTAAGTTGACAATATTGATGTTACTTCTTCTGGTAGCTGATACTCTAAAATCCACCCCCAAGTACTTTGATCATCTCATCCTATGTGTGCTTCAGTTTGAGGGGTTTTTTTTCCCCTCTCACAGTGTGTCCTATGCACATCCCATGTCAGGAGCCAGCCCTGCCCCAAAACTCCTGTAAAATGGGTCTCTAGGGAGAGGGGTTTGGGTGAAATTCCACTAGACACATGGCTTGTAGCAGGATCTGCTGCACTGGGATGGACTTGCCTCCCATGTCTGAGGTGTTGGTGAGTAAAGCTCTTTGGTTTGATCACTTCAGGGTTATTTTGGGGCTTGCAGCTGAGCAACCTCTTATCTTTGATGTGTATCAGGTGCATTAAACAACTGTCCTGCCTTCCTGCTTCTGATGCACGAGATGCCTTTGCTTTTGTATCGTTAAATTATTTGCTTTCATAGTTCACTCTCAGCATCCTCAGCTGCCTTTCTGCACTGATGTGATGTTTCCTTTCTTTAAATGCCTTCAGTCTGAAGAACGATGTGCCTGCTTTTATTGCTGTTTATTGCTGGTTTATTGCTTGCTTTATCAGTCAAGTTGCTGAGAAAGTTAGTTAGTGGAAATTCTTTTGCATCCCACAGCCATATTCCCACCCTCCTGCATCATTCCAATCAACCCTGCAGAGCTGTGTTTGTAAATCTGGTTTGTTTATTGACCGAAGGAAAGAAAATAAATTAATAAAACCAAGACAGTGTTGCTTCATGTAAGCTAAGCTTCGTGTCAGTCCAGGATGAACAGTCAAGGCCAGTCTATCAAGAAGCTATTCAAAAAGGAGACGAATGTTTTTATTGCCTAAGAAAAAAAAAAAATATCAGTGAATGTCCTGGAGGAGTCTGATATGAATTTGGGTGAAATGAAAGCTTGCTGCAAACCATCTTAACAGTATATTGCATAACTATTGCAGATTATTATGCTCGAGGGAGAGAGAATTCCCAAAACAGCATAAGCAGTCAGAAAAAAACCCAAACTCATTACTATTATGAAAAAAAAAAACAAAACAAAACTTTGGCAAAATGCTAATGAAAATTTGGGCAGTGTAGGAGCATAGGAATGGCTGTGCTGGCTCAGACCACAGTCCAGCGAGCCCCAGATTCAGCTACTGACAGAGCCAACAGGAGATGCTTAGATAAAAGCACCAGAACCAGGCAAGCACCCTGTGATACTTTCCCAGTCTACTTTCTCAGCTTCCAGCAATTAGTATCTCAAGGACTTTCTTGAACTGACAGGGCTGTCCTTGAATTTAATATCCCCTGATGGATTTGGTTCACATGATCTTGTTCCAGTTGTTCTTCAAGCCCATGCAGGCTTGCAGCATCTGCTGTGTCTCACTGCAGGGGACGCAGCATCGTCACCCTCAGAGCATCATCAGCCACTCTCAGGACCCTGGAGGAGACTGAAAAAGAGGCCAGACCTGGGACTGCTAAAGTCAGAAGTCTAAAACTCAATAGCTTGGGCAAAAATGTGGCTTGAAGCTATTTTATTTGTTGGACCTCTGCAGCAGGTTCAACACAGGAGCTCACAGAGAGGTGGCTCCTTTTATATGCTGTCAGCATGCAGGAGATGAGCACGAATCACAGTTTCTGGAAGTATATGAAAGTGGGTAAATTTTGGTTTCATTGAAGCCAGTGGGATTTTCTCCAGTGATTTCAGCCTGACTCTATCAGTGATGACAACTTGTTTGGAGTTGAAAGAAAAAAAGTTGGATGAAGTTGAGTTTTGGGCATGAATGCAGACAAGACTGAAATATTTCATAAATTCTTCTTGGTTTGGTGGAAAAGAAATGCCAGGAAAAGTAAGTAAATGTCTCCAAGATGTATTAGACCTCTTGTTTTAGAAATTTGCTGTCTTCTCTTCTATTTTTTTCTGCTTGAAATGGCTTTTCAGATAGCTATTCCACCAATTTATCAGAAAAGGTAAAACCCACTCTCTCTCAGTGCATTTTGATCCAAACAGCATTTTGCACTGGCCAAAAGGCTGGTTCCTCTCACAGCCCTGCTGTGGAGTAGCCATGCGGCTCAGTAACCCGCAGCAGCACCCACCCGGGGCACAGCACCCACCTCCTCGCCAGCTGCCGGGCTGAGACCCAGCCACGCTCAGCACACATCCCACTGTGCGCTGGGGAAAGGGCATGATCCTGGCAGCCCCCTGAGCCCTGCTCTCGCCTGCCAGCTCAAGATGGAGAGCCTTCAAGATGGAGAGCCATCCATCTTGATGGATGCTCTCAAGATGGAGAGCCTTCCCCAGCCCTTCAGATGGAAATACTCATTTACACAGTTATTTTTCTCTGTGTATGTGTTTTTTTATATATATATACACATACATGTTGTTTGGGGGAGCACTGTAGGTTCTCCATAAAATGTCAGTCAAACCATATATTGCTTTTCTTCTTTCCATACACAGTTAGTTGAAAACAGGATTTTTTTCCCCCGTTGTTCTGCTCCCAGCCCCACATGAGCCGCACTCACTGATGGCAGCGAAGATTTCTGCCCCTTCCCCTTTGCATTTCAAATCCTCCATTACTAATGGTCTTAATCACCAGGGTAGGGAACAGGAAGCGAGTTCCTAAAATTGTGATGACAACAAAGTCTTGAGGTTAAACAAGTTCACCCACAAGAAGCCATACAGAGAAACTTTCTGCTCCCAGCCCCACATGAGCCGCACTCACTGATGGCAGCGAAGATTTCTGCCCCTTCCCCTTTGCATTTCAAATCCTCCATTACTAATGGTCTTAATCACCAGGGTAGGGAACAGGAAGCGAGTTCCTAAAATTGTGATGACAACAAAGTCTTGAGGTTAAACAAGTTCACCCACAAGAAGCCATACAGAGAAACTCTTGTCTTTTTGTGTAGTTTGAAAATGCTTGTTTCAGGAGTGGCTTTCTTCACCTGGCCAGGGGCAAACAGCAGGCAGAGGGTGGTGTATGTGTGCGCTGGACTGATGGCAGCAGAGCCCATGATGGGGGCTGG